GGATTCCCTAGCCAGCAAAAGTTTACACTTCTCAAAGCTGCCAAGTTATAAAGCAAAAGAGCTTGGTGCAGTTCCTGGGAATCTCGTTCTTATTGGAATCGATCTCCTCTCTTTCTCATGAAGCGCTGAAATTTGGCAAATTTCCTCTTATACGCAACTCTAAAAACAGGGCCCTTTCACCCTTTCTTCTGCCCCTGAAAATCAGAAGGGCCAGTTTAAGCCCTCTGGAGCCTTCAGGGAAGCCTCCTGAAGGTCCCTGAAGGCTCCGGGGGACTAAAAATGGCCCTTCTGATTTTCAGGGGCAGAAGAAAGGGTGAAAGGGCCCTGTTTTTAGAGTTGCGTATAAGAGGAAATTTGCCAAATTTCAGCGCTTCATGAGAAAGAGAGGAGATCGATTCCAATAAGAACGAGATTCCCAGGAACTGCACCAAGCTCTTTTGCTTTATAACTTGGCAGCTTTGAGAAGTGTAAACTTTTGCTGGCTAGGGAATCCTGGGAGTTGAAGTCCACGTATTTTAAAGTTGTCACGTTTCTAACAAAGACTCTGCTTTACACGTAGCAACCACAAGTACAGAATCGAGGCATCCATTCCAATGCCTAAATTGCATTTACAGAAAACGCTTTTTTTTCTAGAAAGCTGACCCAGGTCATTTGATTCCGCCAGCTTAAGTATATCACAAATGGAAAAAGAGAAAAAGAAAAAGGGGAAAGGACAGGACAGGACAGGAAAAAGGAAAGGAAATGAAAAAGGACAGGACAGAAAGCAGAGCAAAGGAAAGCAAAGGAAAAGAAAGGAAAGGAGAAAAGACAGGAAAGGAAAGGAAAGGAGAATTTTCAGGAGAATTTTACCCTTCTCTAGCTCATCATTTTCTCTCTTCGTAGCTTCCAGAGGTTTTCCCTCCACATGTAAGAAATCCATCCGCTCTTCCTTTAAGGAACCCTGAAAAAAACGAGGAAGCTGCACTTCACAGTGAAAGGACTGATTTTACAGACACACAAAAATAAATAAAAAATCTCAGCCGTTCTCTATTACACAAGCCCAATAACAATTAAGTTACATAACTGTGGTGGGGTGTCTCCCCCCCCCCCTCCATGATCCAACCATCTCATCCTGAAGGTACAAGCAGTGGTTTTTCTGAAGGCCTTTTGAAAAAGTCTGCTTGGATTAAGGTAAGCTATCAATCAGTGTTTCTCAGCGGCTGTAAGAGGAGTGGACTTCAACTCCCAGAGTCCCCCAGCCAGCCATGAATTCTGGGAGCTGAAGTCCACACATCTTAAAATTGCCAAGGTTGGGAAACGTGACTCAAAATATTGAAACTATCAATAACTTGAACTATGCGTCGTAATACTTTTCCTGAGGGAAAAGTAAAATGGCCCATTCTCACACCAGGAGAAGCTACATCTGATTTTTGTTCCCACAGGGAAAGGAGCACAGCATTCGCCTTGAGAACCAGGAAGAAAGAAATGAGCCAATAAGGGGAAAAATATATGTGAAAATATGGCTTTGTCTTCAGAAAAGAGGAAAGCGTCCGAATCAAATTCAAAATAATCATTCTTTGGTTTTGTTCAGTGTCTCATGTGGCAGAGGACAACTTCCTTGCCACATTTGTTAAGTCAATCATTGCAGTTGTTAAATTAGTAACACAGTTGTTAAGTGAATCAGGTTTCCCCAGTGACTGTCAGCGTTCCAAATAACATCTAAAATTAAATCAGAGTCCAAGGAAAAGCATTGCTCTAAGTTCCAAATTATTAAGAGAGACATGTTGGCACATCCGAATCTGAAAGCTTCCCGGGTTTTCCCACCCAGTTGAAAGTTCATGATCTTGCCCCCAGACCCACAAGTCCATCACATGATCCAATCTTCCACTGCCACACTGGCAGCTTCCACCCAGCTGGTTCCGGTCAGGCGCAGAGGTGCTGACCTTGGCTTTCTAGAAAGAATGTTGTTATGGCTACATAGCATCTAACTCCTTACAATCTCCCCTCCCAATTACCTCACTAATGAAACAGCATAGTAAAATAATAGAGAGTGTGGCAGGCCAAAGATCCTGTCAGGGACTTTGCTCACAAAAGGCGACCACGTGACTCCAGAATACTGCCACTGTCATAAATGTGAGTCAGTTGATAGGGACCTTGGAGGTCTTCTATCTAGTCCAGCCCCCTGCTCAGCTGATATTCGGCCTCCTTGAGGGCGGGGGAGGGCGTTTTCGCCCGTGGCACAACAAAACTGCAAAGCCCTTATTCGCGGAGACATAAGCGTGTCGCTAAAGCCGCGACATCATCACCGCGCATCATCACCGCCGCGACAACAGCGCGGCAACAGAAGGGCGCTTTA